ACTCCAATTCTAGGAATTCAATAGCCGCGCCTTGACACAACCCAGACCATTTCTAAATATTTGGTCTGGAAAGCAGAGAGAAATGAGTGCGGAAGTACCTTTTAAACCATGTACAAAGCTACCCTCACGGAATAGTTAACTGTACTCCACCCAGTTTAAGCGCGACAAAACATTTCGAAGGGAAAATAACCTCACATTTAGCAATCAGTAAAGAAAAAGAACAATGCTTGTAGGAACTTGCAGTCCAGAAGTTTTGTAAACATTAATGAAGAAGTTATTCTGAACGAAACCAGACACCAAGCCTACCGCTCAATACTGAGTTACCACAGGAGAGTGATCGAGGGTACGGGTACAAAGTGACATCCGGATCAGTCAGCCTTGTGTGTGTTTCTCTGTTTTCTTTGTTCTTGTGTCCCTGACCTAAACATTTAAACATCTTTTCTTTTAACTAACTGCCTGGCATTTGTAACTCTTAGGTTATTTCGGGCAACCAGCGTCCCTATCATTGTCTGTACTATTGTTATAAATTTTTATTTTATGCATATTATGGGGTGAAATAAAGTGTTGTTGTTGTTGTTGTTGTTGTTGTAAGAATCAAAATACAGCTAATCGAAAAAACTTCCACAAGCAGTAGCAAGTATTACAAATATAAAACCTGGTGAAACGTGCCAACACATAAACCTGAAATCTTGTCCTCTTTGGCTCTAGCGTCATCAAGGAGACAAAAGGCGAAAAGTCTTCTACCACCCCATCCCAAATATGCCCGGTTTTCTCCCAATTCAATGAATCGTTAAGTCATGAACCAGTGACAGGCTGTGAAAACTGTTACTTCAAAGGTGACTGTCGAAGACCCCACTCAGTGCTTCTACGTCCCTATTCCTTATGCCCAGGTAAAAGTGAATAAATAAATAGGCCCGACATGGTTTATCCCACAATAATATAGTATGGGCCTATATAAGCCCGATAGATGTTATCTTTTAACTTGTGGCCATTTTCCCGGTTCTCGGGTTTCCATCCAGAGATATTCAACATTTCTGTATCTGCCTACCCCTCCCCGTAACGTTAAAGGCACAAATTTCGGCGTTTCTTTTGCAAGAGTCACCGAGAAGGAAACGATCAAAAGATGGCAAATTGTAAAAGAGACTGCAAACCCGAGCTCGGAGAAAAAGACCACCGCAGCCCGATTAATCGGGCTCAAGGGCATGCCTAAAGGCAAAACGCTTGTGGGGCCACTTCTCCAACCTCGAGACCAAAGAGACACCAGAAAAAGACGTAAAAATAGTGCCTATACGCCTAATTTTGTCGATAAACCCAACGAAACGATCAAGTATATATGGCAATCACGGCAACCATGCCTCCTCCTACCGTTCCTCTAGGTAAATATGCTAAATATGGCCCGCTTTATCGCACATTGGCAACCACGACTTTCCGCTGTCCAATGGTATGGAGCACGGAGCTGTGCGCGTCCTTCCCAAGAACGGTCATCGTTTTATTAATTGCAACAACTAAGACCTCTCGACTCAGCTCTCTCCCAAACTCCTTTCGCGTTGTGTTCTTTTCTTCCGTGCAATGCATTTTTTCTATCGAATAGAGGGAAAGAGACACACTGCTCTCTCGGTATGTGACCGATCACTTTTTTTTTAACGTCACCCCGTGGCTCAAAGCGACACTGCTCTCTCGGTCCGCGACCGATCACTTTTTTTTTAACGCCACCCCGTAGCACCCAGCGACACCGCTCTCTCGGTCCGCGATAGCCCGCGTAGCAAGCGTGTCTTCGCGTTTTAGGAGCAAAGAACAAGGAACGAGAGTCAAAAATGGCCCGAGTAAAAGAGCGGGGAGGGGGCACCCCGTGGCACAGAGCGACACAGCTATGTCGGAACGCAACTGATGTTATTATTTTTTTCCCAATGCCCCCGCGTAGCACAACGAAGTTACTCTTTTAGCCCTCGGCCAAAACGTTATCTCGTCTTTTCTCTCTTATAACCATCATCTGATAGGCAAAGAGATAGACTCGTGGTCCTCGGAAGAATATATATTTTATGTAGCCGGTCCTCGACCAAAATTAACAACTTTTCAAACATATGAAATAACTAATTTACCACCATCCAAGAAAAACTACAATAACGCAATAGTGCACGACGCAAGATTGCAAAAAAAAAAAAGACTTGCGAGAATAAAAGCGAATAAATCACGCAGCACGTGCTTAAAGCACCAAATAAAAAAGTGGTTTCCCAGCATTGGTCCAAAGCAACTAAATGAGAATTATAACGACCAGCAAAAAGACCAAACATATGTGAGGCTACTTAGACCAATGCAAACCCCACACCGAAAAGTGAAAATACCTGAGAGTTTTCTGTCGAGTTTAATTCATCAGACATGGTGGAATTTTCGCAGCTAAGCTTGTAAAACGGCTTGTGATGTCGACGAAGTTAATGTCGAGCAAATAAGTGGCCGAGCCGAGCCTTGAAGAAGATGAAGAAACATTTCTTGGACCATGGCTTGGGCATTCGACCTCGCTGAGACGGACGTGCATCCGAAACGGCGAGGCGACTTCAACTAAAGTTAGTCAAACTGACAAACTGTGAATAAATAGAGACCTTTAGATTCGAGGACGAGAACGACTACGAGTACGAGATTTGACTTGAAGTTTTTTTGCGTATTCTCAAAATATAGACTTCCCGAAAAGCTTCATTTTACCGTTTTTCACTAGAAAAGTTAGCACTGTTACCTTTAGTGAAGGAGGTTACGCGCTTTCCCCATCGCAAAATGATAAAACTTCTAACATTTGATAACTTGTTTTCGCCACCACGACATTCGCGCTAAAACTCGTAGTAGAATGACGACGGCTACCGCGTTTTCCCGCCAAAATGACGCTGGTTCACGCGCGTGCACTACTTAGTGTTGAGAAAATCTCGTACTCGTAGTCGTACTCGTCTAAGAATCTAAAGGTCTCTATTAACACATGCGCGAAGTCTAATGAATTTTAAAAAGGTATAAATAGCGCCCTTTTCAGTATTTCTTCCTTTTCCGTGGTCTTTTTGTGAAGGACTGGGTATTTTGCGAGTTGTGAGGTTGCGAGTTGCAAGTTGCGAGTTGCGAGTAATGGAAAGCAGACGAGCTGCAGTCTGTTTTTTCAGCAAATTTAAAGGGTCAAGTAGTTAAATCCCTTTCGAAAATTTGTTGATTTGTAAACGGTACATCTTGTGACTGGGGAAATAAAGTGCTGTCGAACGACCACGTACTTGGTTTGTCTAGCTAAACAAAAATGTTCAAAAACAGACGCTTTCTCCACTAGTTGGGCGTCAGCGACCAGTCTGTTAAGATTTGCAACCATTATCAGGAGCGTAGCGTCCATATACGCACATACGCCTATGCGTATATGTACAGCTAAACCATGGAAAAAATATTCTTGATTTTCTGAAAACGCAATTTTTATCATTAAACCAGAATGACTTAGTGATACATTTTTCGCACCATATTGGTTTCTTTGTGTTAGGTATTCTCTTTATCCTTTTACTATTCCATAATTCTGATGGAGTCACTGGCCATTTTTTCTCGTAAACACTGTGCCTAACCAACAAAACTAGAAATGGGTAAAATGAAAAGCTAACTACATGTACTGCATTTTCCTGCCTTTATTTTACCAGAAGGTAGGTTCGACTCCCATTGGGGGTACTGGAATATTTTTCGGATCACCTACCCCACCCCTAACCAAACATTTTGCCCCAAGTGAGACGCAAATGTTAACGTTGAGTTAGGGGAGGGGTTGGTGGGCAGTCCTATTTTTCCTCCGGCCCGTCTGTTCCACTGACTGAAAAAAAAAAATCATTCTCGAAGAAATATCAGTTTTCCATTTACCGATATTCATGGTTCAATAAGAGTCGGAGTTTTTCTTTGAATTTACCTCCAAAGAATTTGAACAATCAGTCTTTTGTTGATGTCAAACTGGCTTTGTATTTGCCAGGTTAGGGTATAGGAGACGCTGTATATCTACGTTTTTTCCCCCTTTCTTCTTTTAATACACAGGGTGCGTAAAATTCATCTCAGTATTATTTATGGTGGCTTCCTCATTAATAAAGGTGCATTGAGTGTATTACGAATTTTTCGTCACAACTTTTTTGTTTTTAACAAGATGGCTCAGAAACTTTGCAAAGAACAACAAATATCATTCGACAATAATATAAAATATTCCGATTTCATTGCTGGTAAATATATATATGTATATGTTCGGCGAAATTAGAGTTTAAGAAGACCATACTGTTTAAAAAAAAAACATGTCTAGCAAAAATTTTGCTGATATTTTTGTACTGAAATTTCTGGTATCGGCTTTTTAAAACTTTTAAAATTGATAAAATAAATATGCCAGAGAATTTCTGAGAAATCATTGGAGCTGAAATCCATAACTAAAAGTCGTTTCAAAACGAAAAAGTTATGACGAAAAGTTCGTCATAGCTCAATGCGTCTGTATTAATGACAGAGCCACCTTAAACCAGCATCACATTAGCCTTCGAACACAGTCGATCCTTATGCATCGCCCTACGTCGTTTCATTTTCAAATTAACAAAAATTGCTTTTTATTTACAATACACATCCGATAGGGCAATATTAACAGAATTAGCTTCGCCTTATAGCTTCCGAAAGGATATAATGATACTGAAGAATCAAAACTAGTTCAGTAAGGAAAAAATGTTAATGTGAGATCCTTCCGTCACAAATACTGTGTAATGCAGAAAATCAGCCGGCTATGAAGATAACCTGAGTGTGCATTCCTAGAAACCCTGTGCGACAAAAACTGTCAAGACATAATAACTAGTTTTTCAAGTCTAACCACCAAATATGTAACTGATACCTACCGGGTGATGGGCTCGACCAAGACTTGTCTGTGTATCCACCAAATATGTAACTACCAACTTGGACGATGGTTACAGTGGGACCCTTTCTATCACATTTGCTGTGGAATGTTGATGACGCCCACCCATCTGTCTTACCTTGCCAACACCTCACAAACCTGCTGCGGTCTGGACTGGGTCTAAATAGGAATTCAACTGGCCAAGGTACTTGCCGTTAAGGGAACCGAGAATGCTTGATACCCTGAGCGCACCTATACAAGAGCAAAAGAGAATGAGGTAAGAGATCGAATCCCCCTTACGTCACCCTCTTCCCATGAAAATTTTCTGAAGTCTATTCTTGGCCCTGTGTCATACTGCGTGGTTATTTAAAGGATGCCACCTCATTGGTCGGTTTGAGAGGTGTCATGTAATTTTAAACATGGTGGGTAATTCATTTTACTGCCGATCACGCACAGCAAGCAAAATGACATGCAAACTCGGTATTACTTTCGTCAACGAGTCAGAAGATTTCTTCGTGAATAAAATCTGGCCAGAGAAGCCGCCGACGAGCAAAGTTGTCCTGGCTTGCGGAAATCGCAGGGGAAAGCGGTCAGGTTCCGACTCGACGAAAATTGCTAATTGAGGTCTCCACTACATCAGTATATAAACAATCTCAGTACTAGTCAAATTGCTGTAAACGACAACTGTCTCTTCCGGCGACCTCCACGCAACGTTTGGATCTTAACGTAACGCGGACACGTAACGAGAAATACTTTCTAAGTTGGTTCAAACATGACATGTTGGGCCGCCTAACATTTGAATTTTGAAGGGCGATAAAGTTCAATGTAGGCGTGCCGCTCTCTACAAAGACTTGACCGAAACCGAAAACCGCGCATGATAAGTCTCTGGCTCCCAGGGTGGACTGTTTCACAGCTTGAAGCATCTGACCTGATTTTTTTTCCCACAGTGAGCTTAAACGATTGAAGCCAGCCGCTTATGAAAGGTTTCGTATTTCTAGAGTGATTACTTTTGCCTTTTGGTTTCAACGGTTTGTCAGTATTCAATATTCGTTACTTTGAAGGAGGCTTTTTTTCAGGACCACATTTCGACGTCATCTAGCTGTGATCTATTACTGATTAGTAAGATCCAGCTAGTCACGGTCTGTTATCAATGCTGCGTTCTGATTGCTTGAGCTACTGCTGGGCGGTTAGAGCCCACTAGTAGCGAAAAGGGCGGGCTTTGAAAACCTATACAATGGCGACTGAATCGCGTCTTGCTAGCTAAAGTTGTTTTGCCTCGATATTTTTGACCAACTAATTGGATTTTACTAAAACAATTATTCCTCCCGCCCTCATGGCCTCTTGGGTCAATTCGGCCTCATGGGCTATTGACTTAGAGCCCATTCGGGCTCGGGGAATAATTGTTAAATAGACACACAGCCTCATGGAGCAGCTCTCCTAACCCTAATTGGTTCGATACCCTAACCGTGAAACAATGGGAAATAATGATAAACAATGATGTGTTATTGTTTTCTGCGACCAATGAGGAAACACCTTACGAGCAGTTCCTACATTACCGACATGAAGTCTATTTGTTTTGCACGCGAGAGGTTGCTAAGCACGAAAGAAGCTTCTTGATGTAGTATTATTACTTATATTGTCTATATTAAAATACCGTTATAAACTTCAGTAGTGGTCACAGCTTCCGCCTTTAATACTCCTGCACTCGCTGCAACACAGACGTAATATCCTATATCGTCCATTGTTATGTTTCTTAACACTAGCGAGCCGTTAAACTGCTGGCTCCGCCCAACAGGCAGTTGACCTCCTTGTTTCTTCCAGCTGATGACGGGTTGGGGATCGCCAGTAGCGCTACAGTTGAACATAAAAGTGTCGCCTACCCACGCGACAACTTTTGCAGGTGGAGTAACAGTGAAGCGAGGAGGAGAAACAACAACTAAGAGAGTTTTCTTTTCAACGCTTCCTAGCAGGTTTGATGCGGAACAGAAGTAAAAGTCAGAGTCGCCTTTGCGGGCATGTAGAATTTGTAATGCACCGTTGTTGTACTTCATCCTCTCTTGGGGTAACTGGCCCGCTGACTTTCTCCAGGAGACCAGTGGTGTAGGGTACCCAGTCACTTGACAAACTGGAAGGGTGTAACTTTTTCCGTCGATGGCGTAATGAGGTCCCGGATGGAGAGAAACGCGAGGATAAACTGCAAAAAATATTAATTTTGTGAAATTTGGAAACCAGAATCAGCATATCATATAATTTAGTCTAAAGTATATTTAAACAAGTTTATAATAATTGTTCTCAATCATTAAAGCTCGAATGAAAATGACAAATTTGGTTTTCGTTTGGACTACACATGCTAATTAGCTTAGACAAAACATGGAGTGCTCAGACCACTTCAAAACAACTGTAAATTTAACAGTTTTATAATTTCGCCTCTGCATTGACTTCCCTGTGAAAAGATCTCTAGATTGTTGAAAGAAAACCCGGTCATATGGACCCTATATTTACCACCAGTCGATGCTCATCTCGAAAACTTTTGAGTGATAGTTAGGGACAGGATATAGGATGTTCTTACTCCAACAACACTCAGAAGTGAAAAAAGTGTAAACTATGCACTTTATATTGTGACAGAAGAACTATCAACCCGTTAATCTCTCTTGTATGCCTAAAACTAATATTTTGGCTTCATATCTAAACTACTTACTGACTGATGGATAGGGAATGGATTTCTAACAATCGAATCACCTGAGTCATAACAAACTTACCATTCACCACAAGTTGTACCAGTGCATGCGCCTTTTCTAAGATGTTGACCGCTGAACAGTTATATTTTCCCGCGTCATTTCCTGCCACGTTTTTTAACAGCAACTTTCCTCCTGATACCATTGAAGGACTTAATTGTGACTCACTGTTCATTTTACTCCATTGTATTGCGGGTTTAGGATTACCACTCACTGAACACTGAAACGAAGCTGATCCACCCTCATTCACTGTCAGTTTTTTAGGGGACACAGCAACAACAGGAGCTGAAATCGATTCACCAGGTTCTCCTTTAGCTCCCGGTATGTCTGCAGGACCCAAGTCTCCTTTTTCTCCCTTGAGTCCAACATCGCCCTCCGGTCCCACAGGTCCCATGATTCCTTGCTTACTGGTCTTTCCTGGCAATCCCATAATACCATGGTCACCTTTATTCCCAGGTCTCCCCTTTAGTCCCCTTTTACCCCGAGATCCTTTCTCTCCCCTCGGTCCAGGTGGACCAGGAGGGCCTGGGAGATACGTACCACTTTGTGATATCAGCTCTGATAAAAGTTTATTTATTTTAACCATGGTATTCGCTGCGTTTTTATTTTCCGTCCTGTTCTTGATATTATCTGTGTTGCGCTTGTCTCTATGTAATTTGGTGAACTGAAGGTCTAACACAAGAAATTGCATACAATGAATTTGTCACATAACAATACAACGGGGGGGGGGGGAAGGTGTCTTCAACGAAATCTTTGGTACAGTCCGCCTACCAGTATGACGTCACGTCTCGCGTCAGTGGCTTTTAAAATGGCGAGCAAAGTGTTCTTCGAAGAGACGTATAAAAATTTCGATTTTATTACGGGAATACTGTTCCGATTTCTTGGATTTGGAGATTTTAAGGTTTCTATTGTCATAGAAAACTAGACTTAAGTACTATTTTGGAATGAAATGTCCAGTGGTGAAATGAATTTTAAAGATTCCTTTCTATCGTCGAGCAAATTTTACGGGCAATCATGCCGACCGGTCACACTTTTGAGGGCCAGTTCACAGCAATATTGAGGGGTTTAGACACAGCAATAGGAGATTCTTCAAAGGATATATTATACTTTAAATTGTGCTTATTTTCAGCTCTTCAGAGGAAGTGGGACCCCATATCATTCCTCTCAAAGTTCGCTTAGCTGTAGCGTTGAAAGAGGAAGCTAAATGACAGGTATTTGTGAGAGACTGTGAGCATTGAATCTTGTTGCTTTACCGCATTTTAATGGTGTATTGGGCATACACCTGTAATTCTGTAATTAAATCCCGAAAACCAATAACAGGTTTCGTTTAATTATTTTTTGGGGGGCAAACCCAGTGGAGATTTTAGGTTGATAATATTGATAATTAAGACAATGTTCAAAAGGCAAGTTAAAATTTCGCCAGTCAGTCACTGGTGGGTGTTGGGTGTAAATTAGTACAGTTTGTGGTGTACTGTGTGTTGTTTGTCATGATGTTAGCTAACATTGAAAAAAATTCAGCTGTTTCAGAGGAGGGACATGTCTTGACAGCTTATGGTTTTTTTTCTCGTCGAAAATCCCTTTTGCAAAACAAAACTCCGGAATTACGCTTAAAATATATATTGATCCAAGTGTATGACCAGCAGGGTCAGCAGTAAGAATAAAGAAAAAAAGGTCAAAAGGAAAAATAGTGTTAAACAGCTGGTGGAGCTGTATTTATCATGAATTCAAACATACATTTGACGAAAATTAGCTTAAGCGCGTTTTTCAAAGCTATTTCGCATTATTTCGGGTCCAACGGGCCGACTCGATGTGGATAATCGATCGAACTAGCTTTACTGAATTTGGTGGAGCATTTGGAGATCAACAGAGGCTCACACTCGAAAGGAATGATATGAAGTTAGACCCGTTTAATTAGCAAAAGAATAGATGAAATATAAACATGTGTGATCTGTGCAGGGGCGGATCCAGGATTTTTTTTAGGAGGGGGTGCACTCGTCTCTTGCTCGACTTCAACACCAATAAACCACATAGTGGTTTTTTTTTCGCAGAATACCAGTTGTATTAGAAAACTGCAGGTCATCTCAGGGGGGGGGTGCGCACCCCCTGCACCCTCCCCCTAGATCCGCCCCTGCTGTGAATGGAACCTCCTATTCTGGAGACTAGACCTTGCCCATTTTAGGAAAAAAAAAAGATTTAAGTTTTGATGACCTTGCCGGTCCCGTGAAATAGATGGTGATCCCGCAACACTGCCCGTAAAAGAAATTAACAATTCACGAAAACAAAATATCACAACGGTTTACACAAACAGATTATAGCAACACTAAAGTTCACAAACATTCGATCAAATAAGCGATATAGAGCGATATTTGCTCGCTTCGTAGCTTTTCCTCGACCTCTCTCGTCCAAATAACTGTTGCATCTCTTGCTAGTTTGCACAAGCGACCCGAGGCTCTTGCCCGTTACTATGTGACGTTATACTGGCAAGCGGAGTGGGTCAAGAAACTTACGTGAAAAACAATAGAGTTATCTTTCCGCCTGGGGGCACCCAACGAAAATATAGTCGAAAAATACTTAAACATAGCATTGTTAAACGTATTTTAGTATTTAAACGGTAGATATAGGCATATTTTTATCCTCTAAAAATATTTCATCTCTTCGGATTTCGTAGCTGAAAGTCTAGTGATCCGAAAACTATAGGAATCAAAACTTAAATTTTCAGAAAAAAGGCTCCCGAAAATTTTAGGTGAACTTTTTAGAGTAAAAATTGGGTGCCCCTGATTGTTCAAGGAGTCAGTCAGCCTTCATGGTTTGGTCATTTATTGAAATAACTCAGGACAAGGGGGCAGAAGATTACAACAGACTTCAGGCAGTTTTAAAGGTACGAGTATTTGTTGGACAAAAGCGTGGTCTGTAATTTTTTACAAATCTGATGGCATATGTGTGTACCTGGCCACCAGTTATAAATAGGTTTAGAAAAGAAAAAGGTAGCAAATGATGATGATAGCAGAACATAAATTTGACGACATGGAAGTTAGAAATACCAAATCTATCTAAAATATTGCGATGGGCAAATCATGGAGCAGTGTGAGCAGGTAAGAGATAGATTCTGTTCAAGTGAGTATTGTATGTGGATGACCAGACTATATCAAAGTCCCTCATGTAAGGATATATAAGGGATAATGGTGCTGGTAGCCAAAGATAGCGTGACCTATAAATTATTCCGACAGATTTTGCTATTTTGCTACAGATAAATTTATGTGTGATTTCAAGCAAAGCTTTTTGTGAATATACATGTTGTGGTTCAATTTTATCCTTGGTTTAAATTTATTTTCTTTTGTTTTTTGGTATGGTAATGTATGATAATGACTTTGAAACAAAAGAAAAGAAAATTTAAACCAAGGATAAATTTGAACCACAACATATACACCTAGAAATTTAGTTTCCTGTTTTTGCTCAAATTGCTCATTATCAAACAAGAAGAGATATATTGCACGACAGTTTGTTTTGTCGAGGTTTAATTCAACAATTAATGAATGAGGCTGAGTGTCTTATGAAGAATTATGGAGATCGAGGAGGGTGTTAATCGTCGAGGCCGTAGGCCGAGGCGGATAACACCCTCCGAGATCTCCATAACTCTTCATATGATACGAAAGCCGAATTCAATAATTGTTTTATTATTCATTCAAAATAATTCCTAGTTTAAAAACGCAGCTAAAACAAGCTTACCTGCATCGATGTTAAGTTTATCTTCGATAGTTTACGTTTAGGTTTGTCCAGCTCCGCAAATATTCTCCAAATAGTAGATGTCACCCCGTAGTCCGAGTTGTCTTCTTGCTGTTTTTGCTATGTTTTTAGCCATTTCTTACTCTTGAAACGAGTGAAGTGTCCGCCTTTTTAGTTTTTACAACGAAAACAACTCAATCTCGTCCCCAGGTCTTCTCGGTTAACGGTGCATTAACCTGTGGAAGGCGGCATTTTTGACGTCATTTCCTCGTTAAACACAAAATTCTTCCAAATTTGAATTAAGGGTGTGCTTTTAGCCAATCAGAATTGGGGAAATCTTTGGAATGGATAATAATACACATTCAACTCCCGATAACTCGCGCCTCGCGCCTTCTAGGGAAGTCAAAAATAGTTCAGTCGAGTTATCGGGAGTTCGAAGCAAATAACCGAGAATAAGGCAATAAGCCAATGGGTGGGGAAGGGATGCAAGTATCATGCACACCTCACTTCAAGGGCAGCAAGAGATAGGAAATATTTCCCTGCATATTTATACATTTTCCCTCCTATTTGTAATTAGGCAGCTTATGTATCGAACAGGTTGTTTAAAATGCATAGTTGAATAAAAGCGGCTATGAGCACAGGCTCATAGCCATTTTCCATCAGACCTAGCTGTGTTCATTTTGCCCAGTAAACAGAGCTCAGACAAGCCAGCATATTTTAGCTCTTATTCAGATTATTGGGACGGGAAAAGGCATAAAAATGATACTTTGAAAAAGGAATTGAAGCAACAACGGCTTTAATGATATTCATGATCAGGACACCGGACACGGTATTTGAACTGGACTGACAAAGAAGTACAGACAAAGAATACAAGGTTGTTTTGAAACAAAAAGAACGCTCTTACAGTGGCGTTAAGTGTCGTTTGCTTGGATTTTAGATCGAGAAATGAGGAGGCGATTAATTCTACACGAAATAGGATTTACTCGCTAAAGGTTTTATCACTCCCTACTTCTGCATATTTACTTTTTATCTGTTTCTGAATTGATTAAGTACGCGTGTTAGCGATGACAGGAAATACGTCTGCGGTCGCAGGTTATACGCGTGTGTAAATGCACGAAAATTCAAGGGCCTCGATTCCAAACTAAATTACATAATTGCCAGATATCAAAAAAGTGATTTACATGGCATGCCATTCCAATCATCGCCGAGCCAAAAATAAACCGCATGCTCATCTCAAGACTCATTTGCATACAATGAAAGTTTACAACACCCGACCAGTTAGTCTTTTGCTAATTAAGATTACTCTTTTTTCGACCACCGAAGTATTCACTTGTTCCAAAGAAATCTACGCTTTCAAGCGATAGAATTCGTAGACCGACCCGTTCCGGAAAATCTCTAAACCTAAGCTTGCTTTGGCCTTCGCGAAACATGCGTGGTTTCGGTCACGCAACGAATCTTATTCCCAGTTTCCATGGTCTCCGCTAGAAACGCCTGGTACCACAGCGGTCGTTTTGTGGAGGCATTTTGTGTACTAAATACGAAGAAAATAAAACGGCTTGCAGATTATGAGTGGCGCTGCTTATGCAAGAGAGTCTAATTAAATGTTTCAGACCGCAGAACATTGTCTTCTTTCGTCTTGTCACGCTCTTAAAACATAGTTCGAGTTATCGAGGATAAAATTATATAGAAATGATGTGAAGGGAAACACAAATTACTTAGAGTTAGCGAGAGGTTCGAGTCATCGAGGGTTCGAGTTAGCGAGGGTAAAATTACAGTAAATAAATGAAGGAAATCGATTGGAAACGGATTTTGGTTCGCGTTGGCGCGAGGTTCGAGTTATCGGGAGTCGACTGTACAAAATTGACTCAGTTGCCACCCAAAAGATATACTTAAAACACCGATACAATTAAAGGAAAGTGCCGTTGGCTTTAATATCAATTCAGTTGTGCATAATTTAATGGCCCAGGGTGAACATTTCATTACTTCCTCATAAAAAACACAAACCGAACAATAATCTTCCACTCAAAACTAACAAAATGATTCGTCATTATTACTTAATATGCTTCTATCTAAAATTACTTCTAGTAACACACCAAATTTGTTCCAGTCGCTGTTTGGTTTAGAGGGAAAATGTGTTAATAACTGATGGTAAACACAAACGGATTGGATAGATTGAAAGGATAGAATGGAAACACAAAGGCAAGTCATTCCTTTTCCGACTCCAACAGCGCAAAGCACTCGTCTGTTAGGCTTACCTCTGCTGTTAGTTTAGCATAATGCTTGTTTAAGTGAACAACAACAACATTTTACAGGCCAGCATTTTTAACTCGTGTATTTACCTCAGCATATGTCTTTTAAAACTGATTCCCATTTCAAAGCATGCTGAAGTATACGAGAAAAGAACCGGGAATACATGAGTGTTAAGTCTTCAGTCTGTGTATTTTGAGCTCTTGGAGATATACATTGTTTTCACGTTGAGTCTATAAATTTGGTGTCTCTTTCATTGATCTTGCGGCATGGTGACGACTAGAAGACTCAGTTACGTGAACATGTTTGACAACTTGGCGCCGACCTGTTTTGCTCGCCAGCTTCGCTCGGCAGTTAATGAAAATAGTCCAGACAAGTGGGCCCTTTTGGTAGAACGATGAATGAGGCTTTGTTTTCGTCAAAGCAATTTGGTTTTTAATTCTACCAACTTAATGCGAAAACTTACCAGGAGTGATTTTTCTGGCTATCACTACGAGGTCAAGGATGTTGGCAAGTAACTCCGTCTCTTCAACGCTTTCGGAAAGAAGGTTTATTCTCTTCATCTGTTCGTTGAGCTCCAATTCTACTCTCAGAAAACCGGCACAGTAAAACACAATCGACAAAACGGACAGAATCCAGGCAAAACACGGCCATTTCTGTTTATGAGCGGTCATTTTCCCCCATATATTGCAGGGTTTGAGAAACTGTTTCTCTTGACATACGATACTTTGGGTATCGTTCCAGCTTTGTTCTGCTTTTTATGCCAAACTTCATAGCTTGTTATCCACATGGGTATATATGGGTAACAATCAGTAACAGACAGATAGGCGGACTAGCGAGGCATACGAATACAAACGAGTAACATACCAATGCCTTTCATTTTAACAGTTTTGAAAAATGCAACTTAAGTAAACCATGTAAATATTCATTTTTATTAGAAAAAAGAAAAAAAAGAATGAAGTAGGCCACTTCAGAGTTCCAAAAACCCTCACTTTCAAAATGAGGTTAAGGACACAACATTTCTTGTGAAGAAGAGTTTTATTTGCATGCGCATGAAAAATCATTTTCATGTCAAAGGCTGAGCACTTAAACTCGTTTTTTTACAGAGGCCCGGAGGAACTCGGAAATTTAAGCCTATAAAAACAATAAAAAATTACAGTGTACGCGTGTGCTGCGGATGAATCCATTCAAGTGAGCTTTCACGTGATCGCCCTTTGATAGACTTGCCATGGCTAAGTAATTTATCGCACCTTTCGCAGCCAAAAAAAAAAAAAATAAAGAGAGATGATTTGGTATTTTGTTGGTGTCTATGTAATAAATAGACGCGAACGAGTGAAATATTTTTCCACACTCGAAGAGAAATTTCGTATCTTTAAGCGGCCAAAATAATAATATCCTCTAAATAACAATTTTTAAGAATTTCTCAAAATGGAGCTTAAATGAATCACTCTTGGTTTCGACCACGTGACAAGGCGGCCATGTTGGGGGTCAATACAATAGAATTTTTTCTCGAAGAATTTACATGAAAATAGAGTTTAGTTCCCAGAGAAGAGAAATGCTTTTGTTCTTGGCCACTAACATGGCTGCCGTGACGCCACTTGTGGCAACCAGCCAACAAGAATACGTTCATGATCACGTTCAATACTTGTCAGAGATGGTGGGGAAGAGCTTAGGTTTATATGGCTCATGTAGTCACGATATCCGAGGTATGTACTATACACTCACAACAGTATACAGCTTTTAATTTCTTAGGGTCTGTTTACATGGAGGCGGGGGACCCCAGGTAGGTGAGGTAACCCGCTTAGGTGGGGTAACCCGCCTGTCCATATAATCTCTCGTTTCAACTTGATCACGTTTACATGATAGGCGGGGTGACCCGCCGTGGGTTACCTCACCTACCTGGGGTCCCCCACCTCCATGTAAACAGGCATTAATCGATAACGATTAAAAAGCACATTTCCCTACTGCAAAAGGTAGATTTCGCGCGGGTTTTCGTGTATATCCGCTGCACATTACCCGTATGTATCCGTGTGTTTCTCGCATTTATCCGTATGTTACTCGTGTATCTACTTGTATGTACCCGTATGTATCCGTGTGTTATTCGTATGTTACCTGTATGTTAGCGAATTTAGGGCTTGTGGTGTTTTAGTCAAGATCTGCCATCCTCGATTTGCAGCTCCTCTTGTACAGAGGGGACTATAATTTCTGCCTCGGAAGTAAGGGAACAAAAAATTTGTACATCTTCTTGCTTTTAGGCTAAAATAGAGTTTTTCTCCTCAATTCTTAATGTATCGCCTAAACAAGATCACATAAGGAGTTTAAGTTTTGAAGTTAACTTTTAATTAATTTTAAAGAATGACATCAAATACATAGACTGAACTGACAGCTGAACTGACAAAGCGGGGCCACCTTTGTCAATAAAATAGGCTACTCTCGATCGATATATCAAGATCACCTTGATTTTGTGGTCATGTTCAGTCATACAAAGGAAGAAGAGAGCTACTCACTTCCTTGTTGGTGTCTCCAAGACCTCGCTTTTACATTTCAAAGTAACTATATCTGAACCGAAGCCCCTACAACATTTTGTCTTACTATTGCAAGCCATTCCAAAATTTATCATTATCATCGTAAAATGAAGCAATATCGTTGTGTAAATATGAAATACTTGTACACTGTAAAATGAAAAGAGCCAAATCGACCCCAAAGGCCAAATCGGCCCCAATTTATCGAGGGCCGATTTGGAACATGCTGGGCCGTTTTGGACAGAAAGAGTCAAAACAGTTCTAGATGGTACCAATTCGGCCCATCTAATTTCTGAATCGGCTACACTAAAAGCTACTTTGGCACTTCCTCTCAATTTGGCCCTTCCGATAGCCAAATTAAAATTCCGATTTGGCCCCAACAAGGTCTACTCGAAGCGACCGCCTTTTGCCGTCAAAAGGGGCGCAAGGAGACCGCGGTGTTCGGTTGAAGTAACCATACGTCTGACACAATCCAAAGTACGGTCCGTTTAGTCGAGTAAGGAACTAAGATAACTTTAACGTAGACCTGAAACCGTGACGACAGTCAGAGACTGTAAGGTAAATCATGGTTTCGAGCGAACCTTTGCCTCGAGCGAAGGTGCAAATCGGATACAAAACTACAATCACGCTCCCGAATGTTCTGCACGTGATTTCAATATCGATAACATTACATGATGCGTCACGCAAACTAAACGCTGGGAGGGCGTTACAGTACAATATCCCTCGGTATTGATAGCAAACAAAGACCCAGCCATCATGTACATATATTTTCTGATTCATATTAAAAACCTTTAACTTAAAGTTAAAGGTTTTTCAAATTTCGAACGCCTGCCACGCAGGCTAAAAATGACACGACATGTAAACAATCGAAAGCATTTTTAGAAACAATACACAACTGGTCAGCGGGCTTTCCTTTTGCACATGCTCTTTGGTGTTGTCCTTTTGGCGTCCATTTTGAAAGTACTGCAACGGTTGCGAACATGCCAGTTTCTTTGGGGATCAGGAGTCTTGCATTATACTTCTCGACAGCATCAAAGGACATTCAAGGTGTTGTTACTAATTATTTTCGAACTATGAGCCGTCGTTGATCCATCACTTCGCTCTTGAAGTTCGTCGTGAAGAATCGGAGACAGAAGCCTCGTGAGGCGCAACGGTTTTCAAGATGAACTGCACAAATATAACAAACGCTCTCCAAGAATCAAGACTTTGCTGGAAAAAGCCGATAGTAAGACCAGGTAAGCCGCCCTGATTCGCTCTCTTTCTACCAAATGCAAAAGACTGAGCTATTTTAACCACGTTTGATGAAACAGAATTCAGGTTACTCAAGTCCACCTTGTCGGAAGGCTTTGGGCCATTCCATTTAATATCCACACCCCCGCTATGGACGAGATGTCTCTGATTAACCCTTCAGAATATAGTTTTTATCTTAGACCCCTTGGAAATATCTTATTTTCCTTGAGCACCCCTCGGAAAATATAGTGATCTCCCTTACAGACCCTCGGAAATACCTATGGACGAGTTTATTTTCCCTAGATACCCCTCAGAAATACCCATGGACGAGTAGCGTTTTCCCAGATACCCTTCAGAAATACCTATGGATGAGTTTTTTTTCCTAGATACCCCTTAGAAATACCAATGAACAAATTTATTTCTCCTCAATACCCCTTAGAAATAAATTTAGATTAAGTAGTATTTCCCTAAGTAGTTATCGGTCAGAAATTGCCTTAACAGATGTTTCTCACCTAACCTCTCCCCCTGATCGTTCCCTTGTAATTTACTTTGTAATAAAACATTAAAAATACATATATACGTAGTTATAGTGAAAGGGTCTTTTATAAATTTGTTTTAGCAACGTAATTTCGACTAAAAGTGGTTGTAAAAGACATGTAAGAAATTCTCTGGCCTTTTATTTCTTCGTGCAATGATTTTCATGTGCAGTGTATAACGTATTACTAAACTGAGGATCACTGCGCAGCATGATTCAACATCATCGACATGCTTCACCGAACTCAAATCTAGAACAACAGAAGTAAGTTTTTAAAATTCACCTAATTAACGTGGTTTACAAGTGATCGCTACCAACATGTTGCATCTGTTACACCCGATTTGTTGCGCTAGTTTCCTCAGGGCCGATACTGTCAAGCCAGGTCAAGCACAGGCGACCCAAGCTCACATTAAGAGGGTGTTGCATTTGTACGAGAAATAAAGTACTGAGGTCTGCGAACCCTAAATATCGTTACATTTTACCTTTTGATCAATAAAATAAATGAGACATAAGATTTATCTTTGATATATTTCTGTTTGTTTTGGTGTGAATTAATCGATGTAGTCGACTTTTTGGCTCCACTGCGTAACCTCTGTAAGTCCATTCAAGCTTGGTTTGCCTGTGAGCTAAGCGTACCCTCCATAGTTCTGAAATTTCTTCCATCTCATTGTTCTTGATTTTCATATAAACGTCTTCAAAGGCATTTTATCCATTCAAACATTGTTCAGTCTGGCGGAAATAATCTACTGCTCATTATGCATGCAAGAATTCAGATTTGAATTCAGTACTGGTTTTGGCAAAAAGTAACGGATTTATTTTTCAGGTAATCGTGTTTCCTAATGAAATCTGTTGGTGCATGCTTGACCTGGCGCCTGACGCCTGGCGCCTGACGCCTGGCGCCTTGACTCTTCGACTGAAACAAAGCCTTTTCTAGAAAAGGCTTTGTTTCAGTCGAAGAGTCCCCGATACAAGGCTGGGAAGGACAGGCATCCTGTAGACAAATTCAGGCTCTTCTGCATAAACTATGGATATTTCGTCATCGTCGCTGTCGAATGACTGTACTTCTGCTTCGTACCAACCTATAAAGAGGACATTTAATATCATCAACAGAGATGCAGGCCTTATAAATAAAATTACAAGAAAAAAGTAATGATTTCTTCTTAAATGTATTGTAATAACTTTTCTTACTTTTCTAGATGTCCTTCACTTTATAGAACAACAACAACAACAACAATAATAATAATATTATTATTATTATTATTATTGTGATTAGTAGTATTAAAGAAAAAACATTTTTTTAATAAAACCCAAACCTTTTATTGATAACAAAGCTAACTATAAAATCCTATTTACAATTAATTTCACTTAAAAAACTATTCAGGCAAAGCACTATTTATATTATTCCTTTCGATTAAATAAAAGACACTTATTAATTTCGGAAAAAAATTCCATTAAAAAAAAAAGTAATAATATTTAAACAGAGAAAACATCCCTACGGTCACAAGACTGCTATTGTTCTATTGCTGCAAAAGCAACAATAGAATTCTATTGTTGCAAAGCAACAATTCTAGCAACAATAGAATTTTAGGTTATCGTAAGGATAATTCATTACAACATTAAATCGAAATCACAAAATGTAAAACTTGTAAAATACAACAAAAACAACCGGGCTAACGTAGAAAGAAATTACAGCTTTCAAACAGTAGGGAGCAGATATACCATAAGAGATAACAAGAAAATAATATCTACCAGCTGACCACCCGGTGTTTGCTAGGTCATTCTCCGTCCACTTTACTTCTACAATCGCACCAATCATTGTGAGTTCCTCGTACCTCCCCAGTTTTTTTTCTGCTGATCTTGCAAGCTTTACTTTTCTGGCCCTGACCTCTTTTTCCACGCAATATTGATAACTGACTCCCTTCTCGGTGTCAAATTCGACTTCGATCGTATCGGTCTCCTTCAAGAAGTTCTTGACAGTTCCCACATACCAACCTTCGAAAAAAGTTGCATTTTAGTTCATGAAGATCATTAATTGAATCCTGAACGGATCTTGAAAATTCTTGTGCGAAGGGCTAAGCTAACGTTTGTGTTAACCAAATTGGTTTTCAATTTATATATTTGTACAAAGTCTTGATGAAACGTCATTTATTCAAGTTTCATTTATAAAATGGAATAAAAATTATAATGCTTTACGTACACGATAAAATTTAACAATAAAATATCTCTACTCTAGCGCAATAAGCGTTTACTTACCCGTTCTCCATCCCGATGTTCCAACTTCATCCCTCTCCCATAATATTCGAACTCTAGTACCTACTGACCTTACTGCTTCCAGAACGGTTTCAAGGGTAACTTTTTCACATGATGCAATGTTTTGCTGTTGTTGCTTTTGATATAGTAAAAGTTCATTACTCAGAGGAGTCAAGGCCTCCTCGAGATTTTCCAAAGATAAACCATTCGGTACTTCCAGGAACGCATTCTGGTTTTGATTAGGGATGGATGCACTATCTCTGGGTCTCACTGTATTCACTGAGGGACCGGATTTCGTAAAAAATTTCCTTCTCTTGTGTATCACTTTTGGATCTTCTAAGTACAACTCTTTTTCAGCGGTTATTATGGATCTGGTCGCCGTAATTAGATTTCGAATGGCTTCCAATTCCCGATGGAAGGCCAAGTATTTTCTTCCTCCTCTCACCATGCCGACGCGAACAACGAGTTCGTCCTTTGTACCACAATCTAGAACATTGTGAAATCGTAAGATTTCTTTCAACTTATAAATGGACAATTTAGCTATATCTGTGATGGAATCTGGTAAAGAACTGAGATCTCCGTTGTACTCTTCAAGCGGGGGTGGTTTCTCATAACCCATCTTCTCCACGAGACGTTTCACGCAATCATATTTTTTCCCTTCCGTTGGTATTCTCTCTTTACGGCACAACTCCTCAAGCTGCTCTTTGCTATTGCACTGATAAAGTTCGTCCTGGGACCAGTACTCTTTTTCTTTGTCACTCACAAATGATTTATCAAGCTTTTCTTTGTAATTTTGAAAAAACGTAGTGACGTCTTTTTCGGTGCACCAGGTTAGAAACGAAATGCCTGACAAAATATTGTCTGTACCGTGTGAGAAAACTTTGAACATCATTTCCAATATTTTCGAGGGAAGAAATGCTCCAGGTGTATCAGCAACTACCTGTGTGACCAATTTCTGAACTTTTTCCAGAGGGAGGTAATGCAGTTCACCGCCAGTTAGAATCCACCTGATGTAATCTGGTAGAGGTTGAAAGGTGAAGGCCTCAATTCCTGAATCGCATTCGACATCAGGGTTGAATATCGTGGTAGAGTATTTGTCCATCCAGCATGTTCGCTGACCATCTTCGTGAAATTTGTTCTGAATAATCTCATAGTCCTCCCGGTAACTCCCGGTGTAATTTTCATTCAGGTCCCATACAATAGAAACCTCCCTCCATAAATCATTTTTGATGGGCTGGTACTGAAGGATGTCATCCGCCTTTCGGTTTTCATTCTTTCCGAGAAATGTGACCAGATGTTCTTCATCGTTGAATACGAAATTTTCTTGTCCGCCGATTCCGCGCATAACGGTACATGCCTTTCCACCATATTGCGTGCTGGCTAGACACTTCCTTACTTCCTCGGCCATGTGCTCCATGTTAGCTTTGTGTTTCTCATCACCTTTTTCATACTCGGAATAAATTCCCTTGCTTGAAAACTGCTCATTTGACAGGGCATGATTCTGAACAGCGTGGACTCGTTCTACTAGATTTCTTTTACTATGGTACTCTGCAAAAGACTTTTGTGTTACTGATTTCAGTTTCAATACCCTTGCTAAACGAACCAGCCACATTTGCACCAAAGGGTTCGACGGGGCCTCTGATGGACCATTATCCACGATGAATGCAAAAATTAAAGTGTTTTTTTAATTTGCCAGTGTCTGGGTTTCTGAACAGATGATCTAGTGATGGATTTCTTAAAAGAAGAAAGATTTCATTGAAAACTCGGTGTACGGTTTCAGGCTCAAAGTAGGATATATTTAAAAGAGTAGCTGCTGCGCCTGTTCTCCGAACGCTGTAGACAAGATTTTGTTCCTTTTGGTCTTCAAGAGTCAAATCTGTCTGTATAAACAGGTGACTCATTGGTGTGATTGCATTTTGAGCGGACCTATTCCAGTCGTGATCGGGGAGGATTATTTTCCGCCAACTTTTTCCGGGTTTCTGAACAGGTGATACGTCGGCGCTTATTTTCGCCTTGGCGTCCTTTGAGTCAACTAAAATTTCATTGGGAAACGAATGAGCCATGTCCAATGTGAGATTCACATTCTGAGTGGACCAGTGTAAATTGATAACAAATTGCTCAACCCCAATTCTAGGTGGTTTGTGCAAGGATAGACAGGCGTTGATACCTCTTCCTGAATGGTGTCTTCTGGCCTGGTACGTTCCCTCTCGGTAATTTTGGGTGTAATTGAAGCAGGTGGACAAGCTGATTTTAAAACCCTCAGGAGCTAAAGCAAGAATAGTCTCCCGCGCATGTCTCATGATAGTGTTACTGTCGGCCGCTCTATAAAGCACCGTGTCAGTTAGTCTGGGGTGACTTTCAAGTCCCCCACCCGCCCTGTCCACACGATCACCTTCTCCAAAAGCAAACTCCAAAATCCCTGCCAGATCGGGAAATTCTTCACACTTTAAACTTCTGCCTCTACCTTTGAAGATGTGGCGCAGTTTTTCAATTTTCATTTTCTGGAGAAGCCGATTGCATTTTTTCTCCTTGCCTCTTCGCTCATTGTCGGCTCTGTAACCTCAATCCCTTGCTTCATTTCCTCGAACAAATAAAGGTTTCTGAAAACAAGACCCTTCGAGTGCGAGAAACTCCTTTTGTCTTGCACATTGGCTAATTTGGCCATACACTTCGCACTGGTAATCTTCGCCAGAATAGCTTTGACGGTGTCACGGTCTCTTTTAGTATCAAGATATTTTAATAGAGTCTCGTACGTGCTTCCAACGGCCTCCTCGACTTTTCTATTCACTATTGACTGGTCCGATTCTCTCAGTTGTTGAAGTGACTCAACAACCTTGGCTAATTCTCTGCCATGGTTCTCTATAATGTAGCCTTTCCCTTCAATATAAATTTGTGCTACATTTAAGTGTTTTGACATAATCTCAAGTAAACACGAAGATTCAAGGTGGGTCGACTCCTTCAAACGCTTCAGTTCTTTGTACTTTTTCGCAAGATCTTGGGTGGGGACTATCAATCCATTATTCATAATGTGACTCGCGAGAGTTATCATAGTACTCAGATGGGCATGTTGTTTTGAGGACCCGGCAGTACTCAGTCTCTCTAAAAGATCTTCAACATTTTGAGCCAGAGACCCTTTAGCATTTCCACGTATTAGTCCTTTCATTTCATTATCCTGTATAATGACAGCATTTTTAGTCCGCTCCTCTGATCTTGCCAAGTTTGAATTGTAAGTAATTCCCCTTTTCGCATACCAGCGAAACCCTGGCCCCTTAAGAGGTAAAACATCTTCGTCATTTATATCTGCAGGATTGCTATGAGTATGTGATCCACGGCTCCCCGCTATTTCATCTTTAGGTTTCGCATCCAATAAAGATTTTATCTTGGCCTTTTTATGAGGCTGCCCATGTTCTTTATTTGCATCACTCTGATCGAACAGCCGTTTTTGCCTACCCGATTTAATTATGTTTGGTGAATTGTTAGGAACTTTTCTGTCACTACGATCTTCTACTTTCGGTAAATGCCATTTTGTTTTAGACAATGAACTCTCTACAGTGTCCGGACAGGAGGAACTTGGAGATGAGGTATTTCGTTCAGAGGCAGCAGATACAGCGTAATTCTTTCCTGGAAAAGCGTCAGTTTTTTTCTTGAGGAGAACGAAGTGGTTCGGTTTCCAGGGATTGATGGGGAGTCGGTTTGTTCTGGTCCACATGACATAGATCGCATCACTGTTAATACTATCAAGATCAGAACCAGCAGTAAGAGCTTCCCTTGGGTAATAGAAACCGTGAGTGGCCAACTTCATGCGAAGTGCTGTGGGTTCGTCTGGATGAACCGCAAATATTGGTCGTCTTATGACAGACGCCAGGGCAAGAATGTTGAATGCTGATGAAAATACATATGGTTTGGCTGTTACTTGGGCCATGGTCTCAATTGCTCTGGACACTTTGTTTCTGTTTCCATTAAAAACACTTAGTGCTTTGTTTTCACTAAGAAAAATGGAGATAATAGAAGACAGGGAATATCTGGAGACCCTTGAGAAGTCCCCTAGTTGCGGGTGCTTGGAGTAGAATTCAGAATGAGCAAATAGTTCCGACGCAGTCAGCATACGCAAAAGGGCAGCCACTGAGAGGTCGCCCACCAATGAAATGGACACTGCATTATAAAGGCAGTTCCCGTCGGCAGAAACTGTAAGTGGTACCCATTGTTTGAAGTCCAATGGTAATAATCCCTTAGATACCACGTCTACATTATTTCTTTGTGTTAAGGCCGTATTAGAGTCATTTATCTTTGCCAAAAGTAGCGGCTGAAAATTTACTAAGATCTTTTGTGCTTTTTCTTTGTTCGTTAGTATCTTAGACGAATCAAAATTCTCTCCAACGTTCAAATTTTTCTGCCCTGTTGATGACCAAACGCAGTTCGTATTTTTAAGGCTTTCCGCATCACTTTGTGCTAAATTCAAATAATCATCACTCGCTTTTTCTTCCTCACTTGGAAACGTCCACGTTTCCTCAGAAACAACTTGAGTTGCCTCTAGCTCAAGCAAAGACTGGCGAGAAGGTTCCATTATTGATGAAGAAATTCTTTCTCGGATCCACCTTGCAAGGTCCATTATGGCATCATTTAGGTTCGCCGCTTGATAATTTACGCATGCAAGTACACCGTTGCCATTTCCTCCAACTTTTGCTGGTATTTTGTGCGTATCAATTACTAGAAAGTTGCCCTGGTCCTTGTCATATATATGAATCAAAGCAAATATTATAGGTGGGCATGTGTACAACGAAAGTATGTTTGTTCTTCGATGAGCCATTTGCTTCAAAGCTTGCACTATTTCAATCTCCCCGTCTGCGGATTGGCCTTCTCGAGCAGTAGACAATAGTTCTTTAAACGTATATTGGCGTGACAGTAACTTGTGTTCGTTAAGAATATAGTACGCTTCATCCACTGAAAAGTATTTGCTTTTGTCGCGAAAACTATTAATTTCAGTGGGAAAAGAGGTTATTATTCTCTCTACAATAGATTTGACATCGGAAGCAGTCCTTTTAAAAGTTCAGGGTTGGCGTCCACCAAAGAGTCTACTATCTTCACTGAAAGAAAGGAGCACGCATTTGTACCATCTTTACTTTCAATTTCGTCTTCAACAATTTTGATAAGATTTTTGCTGGAGTTTCTCCTCTTGCGCACCCTTCAGCAAACAGCTCCCCTGCTACTTCTATCACTTTTCCCTGATGACATGACAATGGTATGAAGTGTACCATTTTCCATTCACACCCGTCATTATCCTTAGCGCTGTTACGAGCGACGAGTTCTTTGCTAAACATAACATCATCCCCGCCACCTCTAAGTTTAGTTACTTCTCCTCCAGCCAAAAAAAGATTTGGCTCCAAGTTCATGTGCTTAATATCTGGCTGCCTTGGAAGGCGGAATGCGCCAGGAATTTCGCCCCGGGCATTGGGTGAAAACAATTTCGATGTTTTCATTGAAAAGGTTGTTGAACCACCCTTTTCTCCCCAACTTGTCCGTTGTCCAGAGACTTGGCCCAACGTATCAGTTCCACTAAATCCTCTTGGACATTAACATCACCTGCATCTGACCTTTTGGAGATCTGAAAGATTGAATAAACTTACATTAATAACAAGTTTAAATTAGTCATATTTCAAAATCACATCTCACAAAACATAGTGTAAGACACACACTTGTGTTTATACTGGTACACGACCGGTGCTCTTGATCAATGAAAGGTTAAGCGTATATTCCACAGAATTAGCTTTTCTGTTATAACTTGTCAATGCCCCCCACTCTAACCCCTTAAACATACACGCAACAGGTTTTTTGTCCAATGTGAGTCCAGAGTTCAAATATGATTAAGAATAGAGCATAAAGATATGTTGTTTTGAAACGAAATGTTACAACTGCAGAAAGTGGCGGAAAATTAAACATGAATTTTAGGAACAGATACATTGATGGTTAATTCCATTGTGTGCTTTTCATTGCCCACATGATGTCAGTGCCTCAGGTCTCTTGATGTCAAACACTGGGAAAAGTTGGACCCGATCACATGTTAATACATCCTTGGATTGTAACCAAAATAGTTGGCATAAAACTTACCCTCTTCTTCTTCTTCTCTTCAATAGGAAAACTTCTTTTATTCTGTAGGGATAAAAAGGACTCTCATTAAATTCACATGCTTGAAATAGTTACAAGAGGATTTCCAGCGAAATAAATTACAAACTTAAATGAAGATAATTTAGGACAGAGTTAGGTGAAGTACAATAACATAGAATAAGTAAGAGTGAAAATTGTTAAGATGTATATGTACATACATGTACTTGCACGTTTCCCGCCTGTGTTCGTAAGTAACGACCACGACACCGCTAAAATTATTACGAAACCAGCAGATCTGCGACAGATCTGTTTTACGGACTACAAACTAACTGCAGACTAATTTGCAACACAATCGGGGATTTTACTGCGTCCCGACTGTCCCAGATTTTGCCGACTAATGAAAACTCGAAATCGTAGATATTCCCGAACGTCTGGGATCAGACGGGGACAAATCTGGAGAATCGGGAACGTTTCTATTTTCCCGACGCGTCCCAGATTTCTGCGATGGTC